ACCCATGTAAGACAACTCATAACTACATGTAATTCCAGTTCCAGGGGATCTGATGGCCTCTTCTGGTCTCTGTAGGCACTCACACTTAAACACACACACATGCATATGTTTATGATTAAGAATAAAAAGCCAGGAGTGGTGGCACGCCTTTAATCCCAGCACTCGGGAGGCAGAGGCAGGCGGCTCTCTGTGAGTTCAAGACCAGCCTGGTCTATGTAGTGAGTTCCAGGTCAGCTGGGGCAACAGGGAGACCTTGTCTCAAAAAGACCAAAAAGAAAAAGAAAAAAAGACTAAAATAAATCTTTAAAAAGGAAAGCTTCCCAGTACCATGGTGGCAAAGGGCTGGACAGAGGTTGTCCCTGATGACCTGTGTTCCCTGTGATAACACTTATTTTTAATGTTATTGCTTGTGTACTATGAATGCAGACTAAATGTTTTAGATGCAACATTGGTCGACACAGTACTGACAGGAACACTGCTCTGATCCTCTTGGCTGAGAAGTCAAGGGCCAGGGGACAGTGGACAGCATAGCTGGGGCACTCCAGGGACAAGCAGACAGTACCATGTACTTTAGGCAGGGCCTTGGGGAAGCGGCAAGCCAGGCTTGGACCTCAGTGCACAGAGATTTGGAGAAGGTTGTTAGATGTAGATTCTTACAGATGGTGCTTTCTCCTTTTACATTCAGCAGATAAGTGGGCTCCTCACCCAAGAGGAGAAACCAATGCCGATTCAAGCTTCATATGCAAGGCCAATACCATCTCCCCATATCCCTCCATCCTGAGAAGAATATGGAAGAACCCTTGCATGTTCCTTGACCCTGAGAACACATTCTCACAGGGAACTGTGTAACTAGGCTTCTAGTCCACAAGTCTTCATGAGTTCAAATCCTCCCTGGCTGGTCTGGCCTCAGTACTGATGTAACAGCCCAGAGCTGGGCCCTCTCAGCTCCTTTCTTCACAATTTCCAGGAATACTACAGAACTCGGGACAGAAGGGGCCTTTAGAACCAGACAGGATAGTTTGGCAAGCATGCATTCTAAGGTATCTAGTGATATAGGTTATGGGAGGAGGATCCAGTGGCAGTTCCAAGACATTCTACAGGTATCAGGGAGAGGCCCAGGGTTCAGGGGAGGGGTATGGATCAGTTAGAGGAGCAGAAAGTCAGAGTGTGCAAGAACAGCTCCCATCACCATCCTTAAGTGTAGTAGACAACCTAGTCACCTCAGTAGCTAGTACAGCTAGTATAGGTAGTATAGCTAGTATAGGACTTCTGGAGAAGTCCTTCCTTATACTTTACTGTATGCTCACATGTGGGCACACAGAATGCACAGTCACAAGGACTTCACAGTGCCTTCAACTTGAGGCACTGACTGTGAGGCTCATTTTACAGATGGTAAAGCAGCCCTCAGGGCTGGAGTGATGGTTAATACTTTCAACTTGACAGGAGCTAAAATCACCTAGAAGATACATCTCTGGGCATGCATGTGAGGAAGTTTCTAGATTGAGTTAATTAAGGTAGGAAGACCCACTCTAAGTATTGGTGATGCCATTCAAGGGGCTGGTGTCCCAGACTAAGTAAAAGGGAGAAAAGCAGCTGAACACCAGCTATCATCCCTATTTTCTGACTATGGATACAATGTGGCCAGCTGCTTCACACTCCTTTACTATGCCATGAAGGACTCTACCTTCAAACTGTGCTACAAAATAAAACCTTCCTTAAGACACTTTTGTCAGGTTTCATGTGATAGCAACAAGAAAAATAACAAACACATCTAGTCACCAAGGAGATGCCCTTCCTGATTCAGAAGGTGGCCCTGTAGTTCTGCAGTCCTTTAGTAACCTGTGAGCCTCAAACCCCATTGTGTCTCCAATGGGCCTTCTAAAGTGGGAGGTCAGCCTACTATTTCAAATGGACATCTACATGATCCACTCAAACATCATGCTGGCATCTGTTTATGCCACATCTGAGAGTCTGGTCCCATGCAGAGAAGGCAGTCCCTTTGCAGTGGATTCAGGGAGCTAGACCCAGAGAAGTCCTGGTAAGTGGTTAACAACATCCTTTAGGAAGCATTTTCTGATACCCAGTCACAACTCCATTTCTACCTCACAGCACAGGGATGGCCCTATCTTATCACAGCCTTTCCCTTACCTGTATCTGTTCTAGACAGGAAGTTCTCTGGGGGTAGGAGATATACTGGTTAGTTTTTGTCAACTTCACACAAACTAGAGACTCCTGGGAAGTGGGGATGTCAATTCAGAAATTTTCCCCATCAGATTGGCCTGCAGGTAAAACTGTGGAGCACTTCCTTGATTGCTAATTGACTGAGGTGGGCCCAGCCCACTGTGGGTGGTACCATCCCTGGTCAGGTGGTCCTGGGCTGTATAAGAAAAGTAGTTGAGCAAGCCAGGGTAAGCAAACCAGTAAGCAGAGTTCCTCCATGGTCCTTGTTTTAGTTCCAGCCTTCAGGTTCCTGCCTTGAGTTCCTGCTCTGACTTCCCTCAGTGATGGACTGAGACCTGGGAGTTGAAAGCTAAAATAAACCCTTTCCTCCCCAAGTTGCTTTTGGTTAGGGTGGTTTATCACAGCAATAGAAAAAGTAACAAGAACACTTCCTCCTGCTTGGGTGTGGAGCAGGCACCCAACAGGTTTGTGAAGCACAAGGGAGTGGAGTACTACCTGGCACCAGGTCCCTCCCTAGGCTCTGCTAACATCTTCCTCCTGCCCTCTAAAGCTTTCCCTGACAGTGCATTCCTAGGCCCTGAGGTTATCCAGGCAACCCTTTGCTTTGGCCTGTTTATGATCATTGTGTGCATGGCACTTATCATAGTCTGTAACAAGCTGGGTTTTCCCAGACTAGACTGAACTCCAGAGAGCAGAACCCATTTTATCCTGATCACTCCTATATTTTCCTGCAGTGCACAGCACAGTACCTGGCAGATAATAGGTACTCAGTGTGCAGGATGGATAAGAACAGGTCTTCAGTAAAACAAAAACAAAGAGAATATAAAGGGGGTTGGTCCACCTCTCCTCACTCACCAAAGCAAGACTGATAACTTCCAGATACCCCTTTGAATCACATTCCAGTCCTGAGAGCAGTTAGAGTAAGTGAGCAGCATTATTCTGAGGGGTGCTCACTGGGCATGGCCCTAGAGCTTGCTTGGCTCCTCTCCCATCAGGAAATGGGGCATGGGGCTGACTCAAGACATTCTCCTATATCACATAGACCAGACCATGTGATGGGCAGTGTCATGTGATGTTCATTGCCAAGGATTAAAAAAGCTGTGTGCAGGCAGAGATGGCATGGATTCAGCAGCAGTGGCCCTGCTAGAAGGACTTTATAAAACAAGTAACTTGCTCTTCACTATGAAAGAGCTGGTGTGGCTAATGCTGGGTAAGGAACTGTTCTGAGCTCCCTTTCCAGCTATAGGAATGGCTGCCCTTGCTGTACCATTCTCCTTTGTGAGCATCCCTATACATCATGAAAGTTAGGAGGGACCAAGGAAAGTGCAATTGTATTAAGGTCTGCATGAGAAAGGATCCTCATCTTGATCTCATGAACACTGGACTCAGATTCAGAACAAGACAGGCACAAACAACAGACAGTATCTGTGGGGCAACAGGTAGCAGATGTTGGAGTGATGCTACTGTCCCCCACCACATTCCTCTAACAAAACAGAAGAAACTACAGAAAGAAATGAAACTGATGTTGTCTTTAACTAATGAGCGTATCTATGAACTCCTGGCATGAGGGGCATGACGGTGTTCAAAGTCCAATATACACTGGCTGGCTAGGTTTACACAGCATACTACCATCATGCTCAAACAAAACCCTTTTGGCTCTCACAGGAGCCTGGACTTAGTGGAACAGGGATAGTTGTCTGTACTTGAGCTGTAAGGAAAGTGGGCCCAGAAAGGTTAAGTGACTCACCCTAGGTAACAACATATATAAACTGCTACACAAGAACTACAAAGTCCTCTGTTCTCTATCCAGTCACTCTTCCACTGGTCTCTCTGGCTGATTTCCAATGCTATATACATCACTTTCATAGGTGTTCCATCTAAATGGTAGGCCGCTATCTCCTCATCTATAAAGTGAGAATCATGCCTAGCTCACACAACCAGGTTTGTCTATTAGAATATTTACCAAGCAGAGAGTGAAGAGTCCAACACACATACAAACACCTCAAACTCAAGCACAATGACTACCCTTCAAAGCTAAATGATCTCCACAGAACATAGAAACTGTACCTCCCTCATGGCTATGTCTGTGCCAGGGAAGCCTTGGACTTGCCCTACTGAGAGGCAAGCTAGGAACAGGCCAACACCTTTGCTGATAGCTGTGCTGGCTTAAGAGTCAACTGTCCTGCTAAACCTCTTCTTTCTGCTAGAGAGGCAGCTGCAAGAATCAGAAGAGCTATTTCCTGGCACCTAGAAAACCTGCCCAATTAATAAGTGGCATTAGAATAAGACAGCAGGATCTGGGGCCTTCTGAGCCTCTTAAAGGATGTGTGATGTGTGTAGCCCTAGGCATATCCTTTTATACTTTGAGGCCCAATTTTCTCCTCACTAAAAACAGAATATTCCCGTCTGCCCAGCTGGCCTCCCAATTTTTATGGGACCACAAATAAGCTGAGACCTATGAAAAGGACCAGGCACCTCTTAGAGAAATGGGTGATTCCAAGACTGGGACAAGGAAACCGGGGTGAGACTAAGCTGGACACCAAGAAAATGTAAGAAACCAATGGCGACACAGAACTAGAACAGAAGAACCAGCTTTTAGTTCCAATTTGAGACAATCTAAACATTAAAAGGAGTAATGACATGAATGGAGTATAATACACCAAGTTAAGCAAACATGAGCCAATGCTGATAGCACAAAAATAGGAAGGGAAAGGCAGAGAGCTTTTATAGACAGAAGAAAGGTCCTGTAAGTCCTCAGAAAAAACTATCAGACCTGCCACATCTGATCCATGGAGACTGTAGCAGTCTTGGGCACTCACCTGTCAGGTATTCCAGGACAGCAGCCATGTACACAGGTGCCCCTACTCCGATCCTATACTTGGGGTGACCTTTCTTGATGTACCGCAGCATCCGCCCCACGGGGAAGATGACCCCTGCCTTGGCTGACCTGGAGGTCTTGGTGGATTTCTTCTTTCCACCACGGCTCGACATGGTGGTGGCCTTGGAAGTGGGTCAGTAAGTATACTGTGAAGGCAAGAAGCACACTGTCAGGGTCACTGGGGTCAACACACTCCCCACTCCCCCTTTTCCAGGTATACCCTGGTTCCTTGTTAGGAATGGGTGCCGCAGTGAGCAGTGACCAAGCCCAGCCAGTCATTTATGAAATCAGCTAGAGCAGAGAATGTATAGCTTTACACATTTTATTTCACGACATCAATTCTATTGGTTACTTCCATTTAAATGCTATACTGACAATCACTGCTCTTAAAGTGTCTTGCCTTTATGCCTTATGATGTAAAAGAAAATGGGATTTCCTGGTTATATTTTATACTTATTTAATAATCACATTTTCATATACTTCAGACTGAAGTAATAAATCTGCAGTAAAAAGGAAAGAAAACTTCTGTCTTCACATAGAATGAGATAAAGCCAGATTGCTGGGTTCTGTAATTTAAGCTGTGTTATCTACCCTAGGATGCTGACCTGTGAGAGGCTAGAACACTGGGGAGGAGTCAAGAACCTGGGGTAGCTGGGTTGGAAAAAAGGCCCTTTGAGCACAGTCAGTCTACTGGGGCTGCCTGGAGAAGAGGGAAAGGTATCTTCCCACTGCTTCTCTTCTACTCTACCCAAATCACCCTCAGTACAGAGGATGCTCCTCAAAGCAGCCCCCCCTCCCCCGCACAATGTGACTGGACCCAACATTTCCCAGCCTTAATCACAGTCACAGATATCTGCAGTTCTCATTTTCCTGATGTTCTACCTACTTCATGCTGGTCAGTCTTGTATATACATATCAGAATATGCCCTAGCTCTGGTCTAAAAGCTTGCCAAGGTGACCACAGGTTCTGATAAGTCAGGATCCTTGGTCACCATCCAATGTCCTAGAAATCTAGGCCTGGCATATCTGCCTAGTTTGGCCTCATGCCATTTTAATCTAAACTCTGACACAGGGAGTCATAGGAGTACCCCCTCCCCCCATGCCCTGCTTTTGCAGTGATTCTTCCCCTTTGCCAGGGCCTCCTTTATCCCCTTGTTCTCTGCCCTCTGCCAATCATCCCTTATCTGACCATTTAGCATTCTAGGCTCCATGAGCTTCAACCCACAGCAATGATGAGCACCCATTCCCACTTCTCCCATCAGAGTACAGATGGAGGACTGCCTCTAACTGTAATCCTAGGGCATCAAATGCTTACACAAAGCATTCCTCTCATTCATGCATACACTATAGGAACTTTGATGGACAGATAAGGTCCCTGCCCTCCCAATGAATAATCCTATGGTCAATTAAATGATATTTGTAACATGTGTTTCAAAGGGCCAGTGTAGGGTGCTAGAAGGTGGGCTGTGGGGGGCCCCAGGTAGTTCTGGAGTCTCCCTGATGCTCTCTCTACATGGAACACCTGTGCTAGCACCACTGAACCAAATGAACAGATCTCATATATGCAGAGACATTGATATCAGGCTCCATGGTGCGAGTGCTATCCACTTCTAAAGACTGTGCTCTGAACACGAAGGCCCCAGGTTTAGGAGTCCTTGTTATTCTCACACCCGACCTTATCCTGGGACTGTGGACCATACCAAACATCTGCCTGAGAGAGACACAGCTATGAGGATCATAGATAACAGAATTCCTAGGCATGCCAGGACAGCTACACTGTCAGGCCCAGGAAGAGGTAAGGTAGCTCAGCCTCTGTGGTAAGAACCCTGTACTGAGTCAGCTCCAAGTCACAAGGCTTAAGGTTTCAGGGTGCTAGGAACTTTTCTGAAGCTATGAACTGACTTGGTTCCTGTGGTGCCACACTATTTTAAGCTATGACCTACACAATAGGTGCCTGGGCTCACTAAATGGGGTACATGGGTAGCACATGTGTTACCTGTTTTAAGGAAGAGTTGTCACTGGTTTCCTTGTAGTCTTTGACTTATTAAATGTGTTTCACAGACCAATACCTCAAGGCTTTTAGAGCTTTAAAAAAATTTTCATTATTTTATTTTATATGTATGAGTGTATTACCTATATGTATGTAAGTGTACTATGTCCTGCAATACCTGCAGAGGGCATTGGATCTCCAGGAACTGGAGTTTCAGATGGTTATTAGCTGCCATGTGGGTGCTGGGAAAGGAACCCAGGTCCTCTGCAAGAGCAGTCAGTGCTCTTAACTGCTGAGCCATTTCTCCAGCCCCCTTTTAGAGCTTTTAAGTACCAATGTCTCCCCTCTTTCAGCAGAGGTAGCCTATGGATGATGATTGCCAGCAGCTCAGCCCCTTTATGATGGATGCATAGACAAGCTATTTCCCAGCAGACCTGTGGGTGTGCCTGGGCTGCCTCTATGGACAGCAGATACTGTTCTCCAGAGAGGCCATAAGTACCAGGACCTGGCAGATGCTGCACATGCTTGCTCCTTAAGAGTGACATTCCTTCTGTTCCCCTCTTCTGATAGCACCCAACAGTCTCTATGCCAATAGGCTAACGACCCTAGGTCAGTGTCCCAGGCCCCAAGAGCTGTTATGACTGTCTATGGCAAGGGCCCATTTACCAGTCCCATAGGTACTACAAGCTTCTCTGGGTTTCTAGATCACACTAGTGACAGTACATATACCATGCAACCCAAGTAGGAGTTAACTTGGTCCCTACTTCCCTGCCAGTCCCACAGCACCCAAGCATTAGCAAAGCTCTGCCTAACTCATCTACAAAACTCATTCTCCCCATGCCTATGCCCCCCCATCTTGCCTCAGACTTATCACTTATTATTGTTAACAGAAGGCTTTCTCCACACACACCAGAGTCATCTCTGCCTCCTCCCCACCACCCTGAACTAAGTCAGCTATAGAAAGCATCCTTTACCTACTTCCATAGCACTGCTTCCTAATACCTTGCCGGGTTCAGGAGCCCTAGGCCCCTCACTTCCTGCACATGTCATGCTGTTAAGAACATCTTTAAACATACTTTTCTTCTACATGGAATGCCCTCTGTCCTCCTGTCAGCTTGCTGAATGGAGGATCACATACCCCCTTAGCGATGGAAGTTTCTTAGGCCCTGGCCACAACCTCAATGCCCACCTGCCCTATGTTCCCACTGTATAAATGGCACATGTGTGAGCCTGCCCAACTTGACTGAAACGCAAATGACTGGACACCAACCACCCACGCGGCTCATCATGAATCCCCAGAGCTACCGTGCTGGTGAGGAACACCTTCATGTCTCATCTTGAGCCAGGCTCTTCCCCAGTGTTGCAGCCTCCTTGTCTCTGCCATGGGGGTTGTGTTGGGGTAGTTCTGTTATGTTCCTGTGTTCTTTCTGCACGTCTAACTATAGTTCTCCAAGATGCAAGAATTCTAAGCCCCAAAGTCTCCTGACATTCAACAGTATGTGGTGGTTTTTAAACATCTTTTGCAAAATCCCTTCCTACCTGCACAGACTCCAGAAAACTTCGTGAGTGTATTATGTCCAACCTGGTCCAACCTGCCCTGAGGTATGACTCCTGTTTATCCCCAATGTGGGGGCAGAGAGTAGATATAAGCAAAGAGGCTACTGAGCATCATGATCTATAAGTAGAAGTTTAAAACCAGACTGATATACTTCTAATCATGGCTCTACCCCTGGCTGGCATGTGGCTAGCCTTGGCCAATGAATTAACCCCTCTGAATTTTTTTTTCCCATCTTTTTCTCAAGTAGAGATGATGGCAGAACGGACCTCAAAGTGTTAGTGAAATAATCAGTTGAGTGTGTGTTAAGGGCCTAACACTCTCAGCTGGTGTTCAAGTGAACCAAAACATATATATAAGGCCACTCCTTGCAGAACACACCTTAGATATTTGTACTGGTCAAGGTGCTATAGCTAAGCTGCTGTAATAGATAAGTCCCTATAACTTATTTCTCATTCATGGAAAGTCCTGCTATGGTTGGTTCCCATTGTGGTGTTAGGTGTCAGGAGATGGGACTAGTGGGACACCATTACTGGCTCCTCACCAACTCCCTCTCTGGCTTCCTATTTTATCATGTGGTGTCTTGCATGAGTTTCACCACTGTGAGCTGTCAGGAGGTTCTCATCAGAGCTAAGCTGATGCTGATACCATGTCCTTGAACCTTCGAAACTGTGAGCTAAATAAACTTCTTTGTAAAGTTAACCTAACCTCAGATATTTCATGGTAGTAACAGAAAAACAGACCGATAGAGGTCAGAAGAGTTTTCCATGACTGGTAGGCCCATCTTCTCCGTGATTCATGGATCCATCCAGGCCCCTCCCATCTGTGGCTCTGACATCTTTAATGCCCAATTGCCAGCACTGCCAAGGGAAATCATGGAGGATAACACAGAATTTTGGGAGTTGGGCTTGAATATGGGTTAACCCCTCTGAATTTATTTTCATCTGTCAAGTACAGATGGTGACCATGTAGAGTATGGACCACGATCCATCAACCAGAACTTGGCTACACACAGTGCTATGGAATTAGAAGAGCTTGGGAATTGTACTATAGCATGGAAGGAAGGAAGGAGGAAGGAAGGAAGGAAGGAAGGAAGGAAGGAAGGAAGGAAGGAAGGAAGGAAGGAAGGAAGGAAGGAAGGAAGGAAGGAAGGAAGGAAGGAAGGAAGGAAGGAAGGAAGGAAGGAAGGAAGGAAGGAAGGAAGGAAGGAAGGAAGGAAGGAAGGAAGGAAGGAAGGAAGGAAGGAAGGAAAGAACCATTTCTGTCATATGACAAACTACTCTGAAAGTTGACCCTGAAGCCATGGTCTGAATGGCCAACCCAGGATGCTGGCCTGTATAACCTGTGTCCTGCATGCAGCCTGATCTAAGGAAGTACAGTCCTATATCATGGACAAAGTGTGACCTTCTGAGAACTCAGCCTCTGTTGTTGCTCCCACAAGAATATATTGCCTGGCCACACAGACAGGAAGTGTCTGTCTCTCCTTGCTGGGCTCACCATTCAGGAGGGCACCCTATTCAGTCATCCAGGAGGATCCATCCATTGAGGGCTCCAAACACTCCGAATACACAGTTACCATTGCTTAGTCACCAGCCTAAGAC